ACGTGGATTGTTCCACTGTCACAACCTGATCTCGACATTCCATTCAGAATTTGACTGATATCTCTTCCGATATTGAAACTCATTTTCCTTCTAGCTCTAGCTTGAGAAAACATGACTTTCACCGATTTAACACTTTTTCTAAGTGATCTATACTAAATTTTCGATCATTTACAACATTGGTCCACATGTCCTACACTTGTTTCTGTGTTACCTTTTTCACAATCACGTAAATATTTTAAATTCGATTAATTGTAATTGGAAGATATAGGCCTTATAATTAAAAATAGAGAAAGAGTCTTCTGTAATTAGAAAAAATAGTGGAAAATATTATAGTTAAAGAAATTATAAAATATTTAAATATCGTATCATAATAGTTCATGGAAAAAAAATCCTACGAAAAAGTGCAGCAAACGTAGTGAAAAAAATAAACTAAAATGAGCTTCAAAGGGGAAAACATCAATTAAATGTTTTTGTCAGCTGTCAGTGTCTAGAGGAGACATAGATTTTAAAATTTTAGTTGACTCGTAATACAATTTTTTTCCACACACTCAACTTCTCCTCATAATAAATTAAAAAACTCATTGTGTATTACAAACAGGCGTAAATCATTTTCTTCTAATGTTTCTCCCTCAAAACTCATTCTCTCTCTAGAATTTCTCAACGAACATCTCTCTGTCACCCACAATTTTTATTTCTTTCCCCATTTCCCTCTTCTACATGTCAAATACAATTCTTGTATTAATTACCTAGTATCAATGTGATATTTTTTCTTAATTAAATTATACAATGTTCATCTATTTACAGTATTGGGTCCTCTACTTTATTCTTATATTATTTCTAAACATTTTATTTTATTTTCAAAAAGTTGAGCCAAATCAAATAATCTCCACCTTGACTCAATTTTTTCTTAATCGCAACACGTATTTTCACACCTTTACTAGCTAATAGATATTATTTCTTGATCAATTGTCATGGTTCACTGTCGAAGACATGAACTAAATTCATAGATTCATTGAACGTGACTCCTTTATTGGACATCTTTCAACTTTGATCTTCATTCTTCTTGTTACTAGCCACACAATCCCTCATGGTCACTTCTTATTCTTTGGCGTTATTAGAAGGCTTTCCTTGGTTGGACCCTTTTTGTAGAGGTCATTAGAATGTAGAAAATTGTTTTATTGTAAAATAAACTGACGTCAATTATGAAAATGTATAAGAAAATCTCGATTATATATACTATTCCAACTTATATAAAATTCTTTCTATGTCAATCATTTGAAAATTCTTTTAATAAGCATTAAATTTCACATCTTTAGTTATATCTGGAAATTAATGAATTCTCATTGACTATTTTTAAGCAACAATAGTCGAGATTGTAATAAATTTGTGAAGCGTTCTAAATTTAGAACTTAACACCATTCAAAAATTTCATGAATTTAATGTTTTATAATAACAGACATGATAGCCAAAACAAAATCATAGGAAGAATAAAAACAAACCACTGTAATTAATAAAAAAATAAAACAATCACATATGAACGTAAAAGGTGATGATTTACTAAAGAGACTTAATTCCTAAAGCTAGGTCCAGGGGCATCATTCCCAGGAGAACTGGAGCCAGTTCCAGTATCAGTATTCCCAGGCGCGGTGCTGAAACCATAGAGCATATTACCATGGGTGGGAGTGGAGCTAGTACCAGAATTTGTAGCCCCGTTCTTTTCCAATTCATCCATTCAGGCTAAAATGTCCAGCATTTTTTGCTCCGCCAAATGTCCCATTTCTGTTATATAACTTAGAGACGTTTTGCAGACTAGACAAACCAGCCATGCACCGGTGCATCTGGATTTCCATGTCCGTTAATCTTTTAATCCTCAGAAGCTTTTCGGCTTGTTTATGAGACTTCTGAATTGACGTAGCGGAAGATTATAGGAAAGATGAACAACCTCACAAATATGAGATAAACTCACGAAAATTCTTATTCAATTCAATAATGTCCGCCTCAAAGGGCTTACAATAGTTTAAATAGCAAAACCCTAGCAAATTTCGGAAAATAAATAATAATAAAAAAAAAACGATATTTTTCTATAAATGGAAAAATTCGAGATTTTAACTTAAATGGAAACTCCTAATATTCAGGATCGTCCTCCAACAAACGGAATCAAAATCCGAATTTTATTGAATGAGATATTACCAAAATAAAAATTACCATAAACGGCAAAAATGCGTAATCGAGAGCCTAAACGATGGAATCTATCCGAAATCCGATGTACTTCATGGCCAAAGGCGATGAGTTGTGATACTTGGCCCGTTTCCACTCAAATTGGATTATTAATTCCCCAAAAACGGACAAACCCAAAGTTATCATGAAATCATTATTTTGTCTTGCGATCCCACTTCATCATAAATTCTAACTCTTTATGCACTTCATCAAGAATCCTTTCAATCGTATAGGATTCCTGGTTGAACGATCTCTGGGTCTGCTCCATTTCCAGATGTTCCCGAAATCTGGAAATAATTTTCTGAGCATCAAGTGGAGATGGCCAAACCGTGGGCTGAGGTTCATAGGCACAAGCCTGAATATCACAAAGGGTGCAAAGTTGATTCATCTTGTTCATTATTCCATTCTTTCTCTTTTTAAATGATGCCCTCCTCTCTGCATCATTGGCAATATACTCGAGCTTTATTTTTCGTCATTGGAGGGTGAAATGGTGTTGTTTATATTATTTTTATTGGCAGAAGATGGTATTTACAGATAAAAAAAAGATCGGATTATTGATTGAATAGCAATTGTTTATTTTCCTTTTTAAAATTCCAGCATTCAATTATCGTACAGTAAGAAATAAAATCACATGGATAAACATTTCTTGGCTTTTTTAAAGTGGCAACTGTCTTGTACAAGTGAAATAAAAATTGGTCATTATGGGATGATAATTATTCCAATTTAGCTATGAAAAAAAAGGAAAATAATCAAGGAATATTATGTGCCTAGAGATGGCTAAATTAGAAAGTAAAAAAGTATAATTTATGTATGCAATACAGTGTATCCAAAATAATTTAAAATTACGAAAATATGAACACAAGAAATTTAGAAAGGTAACACAAAAAAAAAAAAAAAAGGTGTCCTTGGTATTAAATTAATGTACCGACATCAACATTTCATGTACATTCAAACATTTACGATGAAATGAAAATAAATAAATAATAAATAGTTCCATCACCTACATGCTTAAAAAATCTCAATTCCTAGTTTTCAATCTATGTTCACCTGTGCATTAGATGTGCATTTGATGAACATGTTTCGAAAAAATGAGCAATATTAAATTAACTAACTGGGTTAATTGTTGTATATGCGATCAATATCATGCAACAATAATTTTAATGCAATTGTTCACATGTCATTTATGTTGTGCTCAAGACTTCAACAGTAAATATGAGTTATTGTATAAGTTCATGAGATACTTTGTCAAAATAAAAATAAAAAGGTCATGAAATACCCTGGTAACATATTCACCCTCTACATAAATTATTATAAAAGAATCGTATAAATAATAGTAAATTTATGGACGCTTTATTGATATACTGGAATATTGTGGAGAATTAGGTCGGCACACATCCCATGCTCTTATGATCATCTAAGGGTAGTAAGAAGAAGTATTGGTTGCAACCTTCAAATGCACATGATTTCATGAGTTATTGGTGATTTGAATCCAGGATTGGCATGCAAAACAATCATGTAATCCCTTATAAAGCGACATATATAAACACAATAAAACATGCGATCAACAAATCATCGATTTCTATATATGAATACTGATTGGATCGAAAAACTGAAAGCATCCTAGAAATTTGAGGATTCCATTGAACAATGAAAGTTCAGCGGCATCTATGAAAAAATCTCATATTTTCATTCAAAAGTCATAGAGAAGATGAAGCTGTAATGAGAGTTTAAATAGCTAGTGTACGAAGTAAAACATAGACTTTCAAAAGATGTAATTGTCCTTCTATAACTAAAGTAATTGGAAACAAATAAACTTAAGAAATTACCAAAAAATGATAAGTCCATGACGAAAGTTTAAATAATTAAAATCAGAAAAAATGAAATCTTGCAAAAGACCTAAATGCCCTTTCGTCATCAAAATTGGTGGATATAAAATAAAAATTAAGAAAACAATGGAACCATTATAAATTTGGCTACCTTCTCGAAACTATTTTAGTCCGCCTTCATTATTTAGAATTTGATTCATATCTATTCCGATGTCGACACTCATTCTCCTTCTAGCTCTAGCTTGAGAAAGCATGACTTTCACCAATTCGACACTTACATTCCTCCTTTATTATATTTTTTTCTAAGTGATATGCCGATCATATATACCATTAATCGAACATTTCATGCACTTGGATTAGTGTAACTTTTCATTTTGTAAGTTAGCCCCTGTTTATTTTTAGTTATGCTGAAAATTCAATCTTTAGATGTTAAAACTCCTCATTGGAATTTATGGTGGATATATCTAGGGGATGGGCTTATTCTTGGCTGCTCTCATAGATAGTGTCATAAGTTAGATAGAAAATTAAAAGATGTATACTTTTTGGTTCCAACAATTGGAATAAGTGGAAATTGATGGAAACTATTGGGATTTTTGGACTACGAATTTACCAATCTAATAGTTTACTCTGCTGGTCCTTGGGGACGGCTAGTGTCTGCGGCTGCTTCCCCAGTTGTTGTACCCGAAGTTGGATTTAGAATCTGCTATTCTGCTATCAGCTAGCAAGGAAGTGAAGATTCAAGCAAAGAAAGATTAATGGAGGATTCCAAAAGAAACATGGGAACCATCTCAGACAAGGGGAGTCTATAAAAGTACAAAATGAAAATCGAGCATCCATTTAGTGAAAAATATTTCATTATTGTTCTTTTGTTTATTAAAAGATAGCTACTTTGCATATCATTTTTTTCTATTGTTGAAACAATCTATTCACGTCCAGATTGGTTTCTTTTTGCTGGAAATGATTTCTTGCAACTATACTAATTTTCACAGTTGTTTGCAGGCCTGTAATAGTGAAGAGGATGGTTTATTTGCTTTTGACTTGCATAGTGACGGTGAAAGACAAAGGTGTGTATTCTCAATTTATTTGTAGACCCATCATGTATTTACCATATAATAGTCAAAACGAGTAATGAGCAATAACTGCTTTTGCAGGAACTTAAACGCCACCAATGGCTCGTTAGGTACAAATGGCTCGTTACTAGGATTTTCCTCAAGAAATTCCCCTTACTCTTGCATTCAGATGAACGGTAAATAGGTCTTTCGCTTTGCTGTTCGCGTTGTGCCACAGACAATTGAATCCGCTCTCTAGAGAAGGCAGGTCTTACTGGATCCAGCATAGACTGGTTGCTTCTTCATCAGGTATAAAACAGGAAACCTATAATATTTCTATATGAGCAAACGTAATGTAATAAAAAAAAGAGGACTTTGTTCTATTTCTGTTAGAATTTGGGTGTGACCCAAATTCCTTGTTGAAGTAGTTGAAGAATTCTAATTGAAATGTACGTCATGAAGAATTCAAATTTGGAATATTATTAGAGTCATTTGTCATGTTGAATTTCTATTTTGGAAGTCCATTGAGACACTACAACAAAAATGACCATTTGCAACATTAAAAAGGCAACATTTGTCAACAAATGTTGCCAAAAGGGTCTTTTGGCAACATTTTAGTACTTGAATGTTGCCATTGTTATTAATAAATGAGTTTTGGCAACATTTTTTAGAAAAATGTTGCAGTTGCGGTAGACACTTTTAGCAACGTTTATTGAGTGTTGCAAAAGATTTTACCTTTAGCAACGTTTATCAAACGTTGCAAAAGGTAAGACTTTTCGCAACGTTCACCAAACGTTGCTAAAAGTCATCTTTCGCAACGTTTATCAAGAGTTGCGAGGCTTGATAAACGAAAAGTTTTTTTCCCAAATTAAATTATATATGGAACCAAAAATAATCCAAACCCTAAACTAATTCATGCCTCCCTCAGTTCATTACTCTCCATTTTGGTTCCCCTTCCATTTTAACCTACTCTTTAGCGCCGCCTGTGAATCCATTTTCCGCCACCGTCCGGCCCCCAAAACAGCCAAAAATTTGTCCCAATGGATTGCCCTTAACATCTTCTACAATGTTCACCCAACATTTCCCAAAATCATCCAGTAATACGGCTAAAATCAACCTAGAAAACCAGCAACCTGAAACTTTAAAAACTGCCGGAATCGTCTCCTCCGGCCAACACCTTGTTCACGGACCACCACCGTTCGACTGCCCATGTCTATGGTCTCAATTTAGCCCATACATCAAGTTATCAATCTGATTTTATCAACGATGAAGAGCGGAAGGTATCCACCATCGACGATGAGATTGCTTTCGAGAATATCTACAGATACATGGGGCAGAAACAGCTTATCATGGCTGTTGAAGGAATGGCCGCCATGGGCCCTCACTGGTTTACCATTCTTTTCAATTACCTCGACAAGAAGATTTGGTATTTCAATTACCCGTACTGTGATTTTTGTGTGTGTATACCGTGTGACCGTGTTGATTATTTTTTATTGGGGCGAATTGTTATGGGATAAGGGTTTGTTTTTGTGTGGAATGTATTAGTATTCTGAAATGGGTTTTCGGAGTTCAATAGAGTTTTTTTTGGGGAAATATTTATACTCATTTTCTCTTAGAATCAATGTATTAATCGAAAATCGGAAGATGCTTTTGTGTTCTTGATGAGTAAATAGACTGCCATTTATCGGTCATTTTTGTTTATCTGGCGAATTGATCTATGAATTGAATAAATAGCTTTTGGCCATATGTTTAGTATGTATGCTTGTTTTATGATTTCAGAAGTTACTTCGAAAAATCATGCTTCTTGTTTGTCTTCCTGATTGTTCCATTCTGGAATCATATTAATTTCTACTCGGAAGTTGCAATCCACAGAAACTTGATTTTTCTTTTTCCCACTTAATCATGCTTCTATATTGACCTCTCTGAAGGATCTTTAATTGTTCTGTAGTTACACATCCATCACTCGTATAATTGTGAGATATAGAGGCTTATTATTTTCACGAACCGAAATCTTTTGCTTGTGAATGTAGTTTGCTTGTCATAAAGTTTTATTTACTTATGCTATACCTACTATTTTAATAGACTTTCTCTTCTCCTCGGTAGTATTTGCTCTAGCTATTTCAACTTCAATGATGATTATCCATTTTGGACTTGTAATTTTGCTTGTACCCACATTTTGAAAATGATTTTTCATGCAGCTTGCGTAGTTCAACGGAGTGGTTGGACTATGCACATTGACATATTCTTTCAGTGGCTTTCAGCTATACCTTTTTCGAGTCGTGGTTTCAATGATGCTGCTATCTCAGAAGGTTTAGCTAAAGCTCTAATGGTGTGTGGCGAAGCCTACCTCCTTGTAAACTTGTCTATTTAGTACTAATTTATAGTGCAATAATACTCTTTGAATTTCTTGTTCGATTCAATATGCATGGGACAAAATTTCTCAGCCTTTTCTGTTTTCTGTTCAATTTATTTGAGTAACTTGTTTCTTCTGCTAAACCTCTTCTGATTGTCAGTTATATAGGGCTGGGGACCACAATCTCCTCTCAATACTCTAGCCCAGTATGAAAGAGTAGGAATACTTTGATGGTTGAACACTTTTTGCAACGTCCCAAAATATATAGAACTATATATGAATCATTTACCAAAAGTTTTATTTAAATTTTATACAGGATTAAAAGAAATCAATCTATAGTCTAATCATTAATATTTTTTGTTAACAGCAATTAGTAAAAATCTGGTTATTTAATTCATTTATTAAATAAAAGTTAACATGACCACGTAATTAGAACGTACTCTGCTCATAAAAAAAAATTATACACGCATGGTCTTCATGATAATGTGTAATGTGCTGTACATTCCAGATTTATCTTATTTAACTAAGAGGTCATTTTAAAATATAAGTGAAGGATTAATCATACGGTAACGGACGAACATGGCAGCACCCTAAGCTTCAATTTATGAAATTACATATCTGACAACTTCCTCATTATTGACTGATGACCTAATTAATTACATTAATTTACTAAGGCAAATCTCATATATCGCTCAACAACACATGACAACATTCTGTAGCCTTCTGCACTTAGCTAGCCAATAGACAAGTCAAAATAAGAAAATGACAACATTTTGTGTACTGCAACGTGTCTTAATCAAGGTGTGTGGGTGAGAGAGAGAATGAGATATTGAAGAACTTCAGGAAATGTATATATATTATTTAATGTGTAGCTCAATACGAAACTGCATACTTTAATCAAACATGTTCAAGTCTTAAATAAAATATCCACGACAATAAAACAAAAACATGTGCTAAAAATAAATGGGTCTTGATACATTACACATAATTTTTTTTTTCCATAGTCTTAAAATTCTGGCACCACGATTGCACCTCATCGCCCGCCGTCCAACGACCCGATCTAATATGTGAGGAGTAGGGAAAATGGTGAGTACATGGGAATACTCAGTAGGAACTTCAAAATATGGTGCAATCTCGAATAAAAACTTTTAGAACAAACTTTAGAAAATCATACCGTCATTATAACTTTAGAGATCCGGTAAGAGCTCATATCATATCATAACATAACATTGGTACCGGAATGGCTATAACATCATATCATAAAACATCATCTCATAACTTTAACTTTCATAAGTATAAAATTCATCGGTATGAACAAAAGATTTAAACGAGATAAATCAACTGCACCTCTTTTCCTACCTTGTTAGATTAAAAATCTTTGAACAATAAAAACCCAAAATCACGTTTATTCTTCTGCCTCAGGTTGTGTTCCGTGCAAGAATATATTTTCTTCTATCAACTTAAGCATATAGGAACATAGGCAATTAATGAACTAGGTTTAAGGAGTTGTGAATAGTGGGAAGACATGTGAAAGAAACGTGTTGGAGTGGTAAAGATTTTTAAAAAGGTAAATCTTTGACCAAGTCATCCACCTAACCCTACTAAAAAAATCGTAGTTTTCCTTTACAACATGATAAAATAAATAATATAATATACCACAAGTTAAAATTTACTCTACATGTGTTTACCTTTTTCAATTACATCTTGAATATAAACACATAACTTACCAATAGGGTACACGTGACATCATTGGGAATTGTAAATGAACTAGATAATAAAATAAAATGCAATACAAATTGAAATCTTTGGACGTCCATAAATTAGGTTTCGCTCATCCAAATTAACTCTTTCTCGAGCCTAAAATGCATAATTAAATACGGTCTATCCAACGAGACCAGTATTCATATCTTTTCGATAACTCCATCACTATCTAGATATATAACCCAAATAAAATATAATTAGNAATAAAATATAATTTGATAAATGTATCATTTAGTCCCTAACTTTCAAAATATTAAAATATAGCATACGAACATTAAATTCTATTTTATGAAAATATTTGGGGCATTACACTTTTTGGTCTTCTATTGTCCCCCACCTTTTTTCTCCATTGCCTTTTCTAATGGAACAGTTGGTGTGATGCCTTAAATAGTTTTTGCTTCAGTTTGGGATCAGTTGAAAAACCATTTTTTATCTATACTATACTATTATCCAATACGTAGATTTTGTATTCTAGGGTTGCAACAAGACCCCTTATAAAAATCTTCCACTTATAGGCTTTGGTCCATGGCGTCATTTTTTTGCATTCCTGATTGACTGCCTTACTATGAAACTTCTTTAAAACATGTCCTATCCTTCACCACTTCATGGAATGTGAACTTAAAATTCTTGAGAATATCCATCTTTATCTGAGATTATTGGAAAGATATAATGATATTGGTGCCTCATCAGATCATGCAAAAAGTTATAATTATTTATTTTAATGCGCATATTTACTTGCATATTTTATGCATTTTGTTTAAATAATATTTTCTTGTTTTGAAAGTATTTTGGTGCATTGTTCAGATGTTCTCTGCTACAAATGGAAACCAAACTCTAAGTGTAGATGGGCTAAGACAATGCATTCTTGTTGCTGCAAGTAACCCTTTTGTTTCATATTGATTCACTGTACTAAGGCTGAGAAGAAGAAGCTGAGAATATAGAAAATAAAGAGGGTGAGGACACGAAAAATGATGTCTATTACATTAAGTTTGTCTTCAGACTTGCTGGAGTATGTCATTGGTGACGAGCCACTTTAACACCAATAAAGAAGTTATTGTCAGAAGAAATGTCTAATGAAACTGATGTTAAAAGATGCTCGTCAAGTGTTATTGCCAGAGTTTGCCATTGGTGATGAAAAGCGGCTAATGCAAGTTCTTTTAATTATAGTGGAAATGCCCTAAAGTTCTCAGGTAGCATTTTCATAGCTGCTTTTGTTTGTCCAAAATTTTATTTCATTTTAAAAATCCTTTTTATTTAGGTGGTGACGTATTACATTTTAATGTTCAAGTGTATGAATTAAAAAAATTGTAATGAAATTATCAATTTTTATGCAATTTTAAAATTTGTTGAAAATGAGTATTTTCAATTTTGCTGCAATTTACAACAAAAAAAAAAATTGTAATATGACCTACGACAACGTTTTTTAAACGTTGCCAAAAAAACCTACGGCAACGTTTTTCAATTTACAACAAAAAAAAAATTGTAATATGATTTAAACGTTGCCAAAAAGACCTACGGCAACGTTTAAAAAACGTTGCCATAGACCTACGGCAACCTTTTTTTAGTCTTTGGCAACGTTTCTTTCTACTCTACGGCAACACCTCGATTTGCAACACACGTCCAAATATTGCAAAAGGTCTACAACAACATTTTTTGAACGTAACTTGTTTTTGTTGTAGTGAGAGTTGGAATTTCTTTTGGACTCAATTTTATGGTATCCTACTTCATCAACAACTCTACTAGGTGGGTTTGGACATCCCTGTTTATTCCCTTTAAACATTAAGCTCTTCAATATAATTTTATAATATGAGAATTTTCTAGAATTATAGGATCCATTGTAATTTTCTCTCTTGTCTATTGTTCTTGAGTCAATAAAATCTATTAATTTATCTACCATATTCTTGTCTTTATTATTCTTTTGCTTGATCAAATACTTCATTATTATTTGCCATATAACTTTAACATCTCAATTCGGTGGTTTGTTTCACAACAATTGGTATCAGAGCCCAGGTTCAGCAGTTTCGTAGCGTTATGGTTTTTTTTTATTTGTTTGAAGTTTTTGTTCATGGTGGCTACCATGAAGTATGACATTCCGCTTCTGGATTGAAGCACTAGATTTTCGCTATGGCAGGTTAAGATGCGTGCAGTACTCGCACAGCTAGATTTGAATGATGCGTTGCTGGGTATTGATAGGATGCTAGCAACTTTGATCGTGGAAGAGAAATTACGAAAGGATAAAAAGATAGTTTCTCACATTCATCTTCATCTATCAAATCTCATTCTTCAGGACATTTTGAAGGAGAGGTCAGCAGCTGCTTTGTGGTTGAAGTTGGAGCAATTATGCATAACCAAGAATCTTACAAGCAAATTGCATCTCAAACAGGAGTTATACTCTCATCGCATGGCAGAAGAAGGATCATTGGAAGATCTCCTAGCTGTATTTAAGGAGATCGTCGCTAATTTAGAACTATTGGAAGTTAAGTATGATGAAGAAGATTTGACATTGATCCTATTGTGTTCGTTGCCCATTTCTCTTCATTTAGAAACATGATCTTATATAGTCGTGATAGTCTCACCATTGAGGAGGTTTATGATACTTTGTTTTCGAAAGATAATATGAAGCATCTAGTTTCTGAGGCTAGAGATACACAGGGTCTGGTTGCTCATGGTGGTTCTAGAAGAGGCAGATGGAAGTTGAATTCTAGCTATCAAATTTGTAACTACTACAAGAAGAATGGGCACTTGAAGAAGAATTGCAACGAATTGCAAAATAAAGAAAAGATGGCTGCAAGTAGATATTCAAATACTTCAGGCGAAGCAAACCTCGCGGAGAATGTTGTCAGTGATAGAGATCTCTTAGCTATTTTTAACATTGAGTCTAAACCGGAAGATGATTGGATTCTTGATTCAGCATGTGTGTTTCATACATGTCCTAATAAGGACTTGTTTGCTACATATGAAACGGTTTCCAAAGGTGTAGTGGTTATGGGAAACAACACATCTTGTCGGGTTGCTGGAGTTGTCATAGTTAGATTGAAGCTTTTGGATAGGGTAATTAGAACACTTGGCCAGGTTCGACATGTTCTAGATTTGAAGAAAAATCTCATCTCGTTGTCTATCCTTAATTTAAAAGGTTATGAACTCTTTGGTGGAGGTGGAGGAGGAGTTTTGAAGGTTTGTAAGGGTGCCCAAGTTGTATTAGAGGGACAGAAAAGGTCTCAGCTATACATCTTGCATGATCGTGCAGAATTTGGAAGAGTCAGTCAGCACAAGTTTAGGACCGTGGTGGACATTCAGTTTGGTACAATACCTTTAGGAGCTTATAAATGGTCGGGTTTGAAGAATACAGTTCAGTGGAGTTCAGGATATATGGATAATGCCGCTTTGCCACCATCACCTGCGGTGCCATTGTAATCAATTGCTAGGGACGGACCCAGTGGAAAAGGGTATGTGGATGCTGATTTTGTTGAGCATACTTTAAGTGGAGTAGAAGGTGTACAATCTAGCAAGAAGCCTTATGTAAAAGCATTTGGTATTGATTCTGCTTTGGGATGTGTTACAGTTCATTTTGGTAAATTATAAAATCATTATGATTTTTTGGAATCTGAGGTAATTCTATAGAGTAGTGCTTGAATTTATTGGAAGAAGTGGAGTATTTTGTGTTTGGTCGGATAAATTAATTTTTTGGTTATTGTTGAAGAAACCAGTTCATTCCTTGGTGAAATTTGTGTCAAGGTGGAGATTGTTAGAATTTGGATGTGACCCAAATTCCTTATTGAAGTAATTGAAGTACACGTCATAAAGAATTCAAAAATAAAATATTATTGGAATCCTATGTCATGTTGAAGTTCTATTTTGGATGCCCATTGACAGTTTGAATTTGTTTTGGACTTAATTTTATGGTATCCTACTCCATCAACAACTCTACCAGGTGGGTTTGGACATCCCCTATTCATTCCCTATAAATACTAGACTTTTCTATATAATTTTATAATGTGAGAAAATAGATTACTAGAATTATAAGATCTATTGTAATTTTCTCTCTTCCCCATTATTCTTGAGTCAATAAAATCTCTTAATTCCTCTACCATATTCTTGTCTTTATTATTCTTTTGCTTGATCAAATACTTCATTATTATTTTTCATATGACTTTAAAATCTCAATTCAGTTGTTTATTTCACAACAATTGGTATCAATGGAATTCTGGTATCTTGTTTGTTTTACAACAATTTCGTTAAGCATCATAGTGTTTTCCATAAATTTAATAGTAGGCAATTGCCAACATTCAAATAAACTAAAGTTGGTTGGAAGCTAACAAGACTTATGTCATGGGATTGGTTAAGCTTAAAAACTTTCACTTCTAAGTAAGTTTACTTATAAATAATTTTTTGAGATGAATTTTATTTTGTTGGTCAAAATTAGAAATAAGTAAGTCGATTATTTGATTTTTGACAGTTACTTTCAAATATAACTTTTTTCTATAGAGAAGTAGCACATCCATGTTTATATATATTTTTTTTGACCTTAGCTAAATATGCTCTAAAAGATTCAGGGGATAAATATGAACTGAGGCGAAAAATAACGATGCTTGGTAGTATTCATTGTAGGATGTAATCATAATGTCTGTCGCTTGCCATTATGCTAAACTTACTAGAATTTTTTTGGCATTTCACAGCTACAAAATTAAGGGACTTTTCCAATCATAAGCTTGGATTCTCCATTCCAGCTCGGAGAGAGAGAGTAGTGACCTGCTCAATGCAGAAGGACCACATTTATGTTGTGAAATGATATAGAAAAATGCAATTTCATGAGGCTCCAATCTTTAGTTTCAAAGCACAGAATCCTCCTTGACATGATATTGTGTGTTTCTTACAAGAATCTCATTTGTTGGAAACTCTTGTAAAGCAAAAAACTTACACACTACTTAGGGTTTATGGTATTTCTTTCCCTTTTTTTTTGGAAATGTATTGAATTTTTAGACGCTTCGGAATTTTGAATCTGAATTTTGTATGAATATCGTTACATTTTAGAGTACAATTGATAATGATTATTGGAGTTGTTTGATATTGTCATCTTCTATCTTATTTTGTGGTTGATTTGTGCAAATTACTGTACAAATAAAAAAATGTAAAATTTAAAAAAACTGTAAAATGACATATGGCAACGGTCAAAAAATATTGCAAAAAATAAAGATATAAGTATAAACAATTGGCAAAAAACGTTGTAAAAGGTTATTAGCAACGTTAAAAAATGTTGCAAAAAAGTTATTCGCAACGTTAAAAAAACGTTGCAAAATAGTTATAGCAACACTCAAAAAAGGTTACTGTATCCTTCTACTCTACGGCAACATCGAGGTTTGTAACGTACTCAAAAACGTTGCAAAATGTCTTAGGCAACGTTTTTTGAACGTTACAAAAGACTGTTTTTATTGTAGTAAATGTAATATTGAAAATGCATTTTGGCAAAAAAAAAAGTAAGAAAGAAAGAAAGGCCTCAAACAGGGGCTTAATAAAGTGTGTTTCTTTCTTCAACTACCATCCATAGATGCCACCATAGCCTTTTTAAAAATCCATCTCCCCCAAATCGAGCAGGAAACCGTTGTTGTTCGCCACCACTAGATCTTCATCTATTTATCTCATCTAAATCTACCTTACACCACATACCCAACGTGACATATTAGCTGCCATCATTAAAAAACTATATTTCAAAGAAAAATAAATCTAGCTGTGATTTTCCTCCTCCCTTGCATTTCCTCCCTAAGATCCTTCTTCCAGCACCCTGACTCTTCCTGTTCTCCTCCATATCACACTGCAATACTACTTTCCTATGCAGAACAAGAACCCTCTGACAATTCGAAATCTCACTTCCACAAATGAACTATCATTAGAATCCCAAATAC